GATTAGTTGTATATGTTTGCTTACAAAAAATCAATCCAGCCTATTTGATGACACCGAAATAGAGATTGGCATCACACCGCAAGGTGAAACGTTGTCGTCTGGTATGCATGAGATAACCGTTACAGATTTTCCCTTCATTCGTAGCTGATTACAGTCTACTTTCTGACGGAGTATTCGACTAACTAACCAATAATGAAGACCTCTTGGGGCAGAATCTACTTAGCCCATTCCTTGAAAGCATTGCATTTAGACGAATGATGCCGTTTTGTTGACCTTATTCTAGTTACGCACAGTCAGCCAGAAATTTTTACTCATCTTGAGATTAAGTTGAACATTGTTTTCCTTTCTCAGTCAGGAGGCGTTAAGTTTTACATCTGTTCACCCTTTTTTGTTAGAAGAAGGTAAGTGGTTCCTGTTTAAGATCTCTTCCGTTTTCCTTTAGGAATTTAAATAACTTCCCTAATATATTGAATGTAATTTAACTCATTTGTTCAGTTTTTTTAACGCATCGCTAGCTTCGATATTTACCCATTTTCGCCATCTGTTCGACAGCTGGAGAAAATTTATCGCTTAACTAGTTCCAGACCTATTGCTCCATTTTTTTTTGTTTCTGTTGTACGTTTGATGAAGTTTAATAAATGCATAAATGACCACTCTTTGATGAATTAGCCGAGTTTTTCCAAGGCAGGTTTTTTGATTGCTTCGATTTTAAAATTCGTAATCGCCTGGTTTCAACTATGGAAATCTTTTATGCATTACGTTTTGACTACCACAGTTTCGTTCTCGAGCGTCATTGGCTGAAATTGCGCTTTCACTGAATTCACCATTTATTTGGTCGATTGAATCATAGCCTCTAACTTGGGGAAACTCTTTTCAACTGCCAAACAACTTTTGTCGAATGAAGCAAGTAGTTCTTACGTTTCCTGACCTGATTTGTTAATTTATTGATTCAGCACTTAACGTGTAGCTTCTCTCCACTTTCTTCCATGTTCTTTCATACGGGAGATTTTTAGAGATGCCGTTGTAATAAGATGATGACGTTCTACTGTCACGGAACAATGAATCATAGATTTTGGCTTCTATATATTTCTTCGTTTTACCTTCGATCTTTTAGGAGGCTTGTTCTGAAAGGATTTTTTGCCATCTTTGTTCCTCGTACAAGTTGCGTAGAAAAATGTGACTATTTAATTTTGGTAAATTTTTTTGCATATATTATTCGTTTCTGGCAGCTGACATGTTTTGTGATTGCCGTCTGAGGTTAACAGAATTTAAACAGCATGGCAACCCAGATTTATGGTGTCTTACAGAAATGGTACTTCATATTGTTATTAGGCAGCGTTAGCTGTTGTATCAAAGATTATACTTTTATCGCAAGAAGGTTTACCTCAGTAAGGTTTTTCCACGTTTTGTATTGTCCTGTATGATTCCCAAGCGCTAAGAGTTTTGAATAGATTTGTATTCTTTGTTGGGTCCGTTTATCTAACCTGGCGACAAATAGTTTTTTCAGGCCGGTTATTATTATCGTCTGCTTGTCCATAACCCGGTGGTACCGTCGCACTTTGAAGATACTTCGTAGAAAGCGTTGTTGGAATCTGTGTGGACGAGCTTCATGACGCGTCGCGATAGCAAATGTTTCGTACATAGGTTTCGGTACATAAGCATCGCGATTACAGCTGTTTTCAGAATGGTGATCTTAGTGTTTATTTTTGTGTTTCGATTCTTCAGTGTGTCATAACCAAGGCAACTGGCATAGTGAGGACTAACAAAAAGATTGAGGCCACCGTCAGTATTAATCCTTGAAAAAAACACAGTAAGATTCATTTTTTGTACAATCGACCTTCAAAACGTAATATGGCGTTTTTTTGCTATGAATGGAAAAACTAACGATATAGGACGGATAATGTCCCGAAATAGAAGTACTATGACAAATTCTGCCGCCACTAGAATCGTTGAGACCGCTAATGAAATTTATTGAACTTGTCACAACTTGCACATTTGTGTCTTTCTGCGAAGGAAGATGATATGCTGTTGTTACTCTGGGGTACTGTCGATATTGGGATTATTAATTGATTTTTGTTAATTGTTGTTGTCCTTCAGTCAGCATGTATGGCGGTCGTATTTCTGCCTTAAATGGTGCATACTTCAGCCAAGAATTCAGTTTTACCTTACGTGGCGCTTCACCGAGCACAATCGCGTGTCTCGTCATATGTGACCTAAAATGAGACTTTGGTATTAAATGCTAACCATCTCGTTTTAGCAAATGATTAGTGTAAATGAATGATGAAGCTGTGCGAGGTTCGACGATGTTTCCGAAGTCATGACAGTCACTTGACATGCTCCTGTTATACAAGCATTCTGCCGAATTTATGCTCAAACTAAGCTTTGTTAGCTATAAGCCCATGTGGTCGATGCCAGTCAATTTATTACTGACCTATTGTTGCTAGAGCATTATTTCATTGAGTTACTAAAATTTTGTACTCTGCTTTGGTTGCATGCAGCCATTCAGGTTCGAGATTATGACTCCGGAGTGGCTGGTACAGACCGTAGCAGTAGGAAAAATGGCTTTTGGTGTTTGAAGTGTTTTAAAATGTTTTTATTTGTGCAGTGAAACTTGGCTGTTTGCCAGTCTGTTCAGACAGTGCAAAATCAATCTTTCGTCCGCGCACTTCGTTTGTGTAAAGTTTCCCATTCCTTAGTTGATGTAATATGGTTTAAGATTGTGTTCGATTTCAGCGCAAAGAATGGACGTCGACGTGAACAAGGCAGTATCTAATGGTCCGACAGCGTCAGCTGAGTTTTCGAATGGCGACGAGATACCTGAGATTGCTGCTGTCAGTCCCGCAGAAAATGCCACTATGCAGCAGCCGTCATCGGCCAATGGTCAATCTCTCGATTCCGACACCGCCGCGGATCATCAGCAGGGAGCTGCGCACAATAAAACAAACGTGATCGTCAACTATCTTCCGCAGTCCATGACACAGGACGAGTTGAAGACACTTTTTGGGAGCATGGGTAAAGTGGAGTCTTGCAAATTGGTACGGGACAAAATCACCGGTGAGTATCAGCCTCACCTCCAGCTTCCTTCCGTTGTTAAGCACGATACACACTGGCTTTGTTTAGACATGAGCAGATTTCCTTTCTCAAATGTGACAGTTCTTAATAGATATAAAAGAGATTAATATAACCTTGATTATATTATGACATTCACCTGTTAGTTCTCCCTCATTCGGTATTGCGTACCTTCGGCAGTCAGTCACCTCAACTTCGGTGGAGCTCAGATTAATCTATTACGCATTAGATTTAATTTTATAACGCAGCTGTTTAGAGTGATATGTTGCGGGTAATCGGTTCAGTTAAATTAATGTTTGGACGTCGTAGAGGGAAGTCAATCAAATTCCACTCTTTCTCCTTCTGTGGTCTTATTTTTCTTGGTTCATTCTGTTTTTTTTTTCATATACTTCGAAAATATGTCACGGAAATCCTATCCTCCATCAGATCTTCATATTCGGTGATTCGTTCCGTGCATGAATAGCTTCCATTTCTGTATTACTTAACGAAGAAAACGTAAAAATTTTAGCCTTTTTACAGTTTCCAAATCTTACTGTTTGTTCATCTTTGAATTTGGAACATGATTTCTTTTTTGCGGGAGATGGTGTGATGCTTTGGTATGTCACAGACAGCAGAACAACGCATAAAATATTCTTTAATTGACAAGCCTGAGTCAGGAAGGTAGCATCGACTTCGGCGAAACATGACCCATTGCGATGGCATGGAACATCTTCGATCACCCTCGATGCTAGATGCCTTTTACATAATGTTATTGGTTTCAGCTATTGCTTGCTCGTTAGCAGCGCAAATGATTCTAAAGCGTTTGCTTCTTATGTGTTTACACAACATTCATTACGTGCTTCAACGAACCTTATAGTATAAAATGAGCACTGTAGCGACGCGGGGTAATCTGACTCATGCCCTAATGCTTACTATCACTTGTATATACCAATTGACCGCGCAGATTTTGTGACTAAAGAGTAAAATTAAATAATACAATGCAATGACTGATGAACTACGGTAATGAAGGCTACTTTTACATTCCTCATAGCAAAGTTTGCGTTTTCGCATTTTTAAACTCTTCTCGTAAGTTTAATTTCCTGGCTTAATACCGCTCGCGAACTTGGCTGCTTTCAGTCTTTTGGCTTTATATTGATTTCGATTCTGATCAGTCACCGTTTTTTTGTTTTTATTATTATGGTTTGAAGATATTCTTTTTAGAATTTGCTTTTCTGACCGGGTGTTTGTGGTCGGGTCCAGTTCTTTTCTTCGCGCCTATTTTGCATTAACATTTTTACTAATACTACTTTGTTCTTGTTTTGATGTTACACATTTGAATATAGTCATATTTCGCAGTTTATGTTAATGTTGTACTTTGCTTTGTGTTATCATTTAGCGTCTCTTCTACGCCATTACTTTTTTTTCAGTTTTTTTCTTTCTGTAGG